CAAGGCTCTGCCCTCACGGCCCGGAGAGGGCCGGGCACCCAGACTGCAGGGCGGCTGGAAGCGGTGCCACTGCGTGCTTGTGCGGGGAGGCGGGCGGGCAGGAGGGAGGCTCAGCAGAGTGTCAGTGTGTCTCAGCCTGTGTGGGGGCGGCTGTGTGGGGGCGGAGGGCTGCGGCATGCACCAGAACATGTGCGTGCCTGCCGCTCGGTGGCTTGGAGGGGGAGGAAGGAAAGTCTGTCCCCTTCCCTGTTCCTGCCACCCTCCGCCCAGCCTTGAGGACCTCCCTCCACCCCAGCATCCCATCCTTGGCCTTTGGCGCCTGCCCAGGATCTGGTCCCCTGCCTTGGCTTTAACACAGCCTTTCCCTATGGCCTGAGGCTATTTCTCTCTGGGTGTTGGTTTCACCATCTAGGTTATAAATAGACAGTGTATTGGTCCTTCCAGTTCTGATGTTCTGGGAGTCTGAAATTTCCCAAGTGTGCCTTCCATAGAGGGGAGCTAAAGAGGGTAGCCCCTCTAATGGGGCATTTCAGCATCTGCAGAGTTATTCTGATCCCCATTTCACAGATGGTAAAGTTGGGGTTCACAAAGGCCCAGGGATCCACACAGGGCGGCCCAGTAAATCAGAGGCAGAGTCATGATTGGAAAATAAGCCTTAGCTCAGAATTCTCTTACCCAGAAGGCGGGGGCCCCTCTTCCCTAGTAGCGTTCCTCAGACACGGCAGCAAGCGGGGTCTCTCTCACGAACTGTCCCCCCCATATGCAGGGTGCTGGATGCCTGCACGCTGGCCCTTCCACCTTCTCAAGCCTCAGCCTGCTCCTCTGTCAGGTGGATGCCTAAGCCCTCTGCCTCCCTCAGAGCTAATGGATGGAGGGGTGTCTCACTGGCCCCAAAGCTCTGTGAATGTGAGAGGCTATTAGGAGCAAAATGAAAGCACGCCCCCATCTTCGGGTGGTGTGTGGGTGCCCAGGTGTTCTCTCTCCCCAACATTGCCCCACCGAGCCTCCTGACCACTGAGCCAGGGAAGGCTGGGATTGCTGAACACACTTGGCGGATGTTAGAGCTTGTATCCCGTGAGGAAACCTCAGCACCCAGGAACCCGGTACCTCAGTGTGGGGAACAGCCTCTGGGCCCCGTGTCCCCTGGCCCAGGCCCAGTTCCTGATACACACCATGGGGGTAAGAGGGGGCAGTGGGCTCCAGAGCCAGCTCTCACCCATCCCTCTGCCCACCTGGCTGGCCCCTAGAGCCCCTCCCCGCAGCCCAACACAGCCCTTGGGTTGATTTCAGATCCCAGTTTCTAGAGAAAGACGGGCTGCACTCTATCCGGACTTCCTCCCTCCCTCCTCCTCTCTCAAGTAAAATCTCCTTCTGTACCACTCAGTGATTACACAGGCTGCAGGGCAATTCTCTGCCTCCCTACCCTCTCCTGGAAGTGGGATCCAAAACCCAGAGAATGTCAAAGGCCAGAGGAGGCATCCTCCTTCCCTGCCTCCTGGAACCTGACCCCTTCCGCCTCCAATCTGGTCTTTGGAGAAGATGGGTTCTGCCAGGAGCTCGGGCTCAGCTGCCCAGACCCACTCTGACCCCGAAGCTGACATTACTACAGGCGGCCTCCTGACAAGCTCCTGTGCTCCGAAGGTCTGGACTTTTATTTCTCGCATCTCCTGGGAAGAAGGAGGGTGGGGGTCAGGGAGGAGTGAGTGAGCCAGTCTCTGGGTTCTACCTCAACCTTCTAGGGGACCTGGAATCAAGATCCTGGCTTATCTGAACCCCATGCAGAGTGAGACCTTTGTCCAATAGCATCGAGGGGCCCCAGAAGCCCCTGCCCAGGGCCCTGGGGACTCGGGCCCACACCCCGCCCAGCTGTTGCCCACCAGGTGGGAGAGGAGCAACTGCTCTTACATCCGTAGCCAGCCCTACCTTGGCCTCCTAGAAGGCCAGCAGTGACCAGGCAGGCTCACCGAGTAGGACGCCAGGAAGCCCTCGAGAGGCACATGCTCTCCTCTCCAGCCGGGCAGTCCGAGGTCCTGCAGAAGGACATCCAAAGGCTCCGATGTCCCCTTGCAGGACCGCCTCAGCTGCCTTGGCAAGTCACCCTGCCAGGGATCTGGAGTGGGCTCCTGGAATGGGGGCTCAGCTGGTGGGTGGTGACTGCAGTGTCCCAGCCGGCCGGGAGGCTGGGCCCTGCGGGCATCTTCCTGGCTTCTCCCCAAAGAAGAGGAGCCCGGTCAGGCCCCTCCCCCAAGCTGGGCCAGCTCCAGACAAAAGGTAAACATGTGGCAGTCCCTAGCGGCGGCTTCAGCCTGCCTCACCTTGGAGAACAATGATCCCAGCAGCAGTCCCTGCTGAAGGCCCACTGTGTGCCAAGCTTGTCACTGTGTCTTCACGCGTGCCATCTTATTGCATCCCCACAGCAACTGCTTCGATTTCCAGACTACGGGGGAAGGGTGCGTTGCGTGGCCAGTGTCACAGAGCTATGGGTGGCCAGCTCCAGAGCCTGGGCCGTGTGCAGGGCGCCGCCCTACCTGCCCCACTGGGCACCCAGTGCGCAGAGCAGGAGCCCCGGGTGCCCCGCGATGTACCCTGGCCTTTTTAACCCCTGCATCAGAGGCGTGGAGCCTCATTCTCTTCCGGTACAAGCATCCTTCACCCTAGGCCCATCCACAGCCTTCCTAAGGTCCTGCAAGCTCCTGACATTGCCCGCAACATTTCGTAGATTTGTGCATTTCTCTGGAGAATGTAGACTTGGACTTTCATCAGATTCCTGGAGGAATACGCGACCTAAAAAAGGTTAGGAGTCCATATAGTTCTAGAAGGAAGAGGTCTGAAATCGATCTGACATGGACTGGCCATGCCTACCACCCTCGGTTTGCCTGTCATGGCCACACCAGGGCTCCCTGTCACCTGGAATTCTGCCCCTGCCCCGGTCCTGGCCGGCAGTGGGGTCGAGAAGGCTCGCAAAGGCTCTCTGCACCAAGTCACCACCACCCCACCCCACCCCACCCCCAGCTCCCAGTCTTCATGATATCCATCTCCTCTTGGGGCAAAACATCACTTTTATTTTCACTTGAAGCGCCTGAGTCACATCTCAACTCCATTTCACTGCATCCTGTGACGCAGCCCTCCCAGCACCGAGCCTTGGTCATCCCCTGAAGGGCAGCTCCTAGCTAATGGGGGAATCCTGGCGTTCCAGGGGGGCACAGGATCCCCGCCGAGCAGGGGCCCATCACACTTTAGCAGACAGGGTCAGTCCTCTGGAGCGGCCTCCTGCCTGCTGCCCACCCCTGCCCCCAGCATAGAAACACACTCAGAAATGCAGGAAGTCTGCAGACAAGAGTGACCACACACCTGCACGTGGGTGTGTGTCTGTACAAGGGACCTGGTGTGTACCTGTGAGTGTCAGGATAGCCTGGTATGTGAGTGTGAGTGTGTGTGTGTGCGTGTGTGTGTGTGTGCAGGCAGCCTACTTGTACACGGCCACAGGCCCACCTCCCACACATATGCAAACACCAGCATGAGCTCACACATGCCTTCAACACCCACACTCCCACCCGAGCCTTTGGCCCAGGCCTCACACGCACGCACATAAACCTTCCCGTGTGCATGCCCCCCCATCCTCGTGCAAATGTGCATGTCCGGACCTCATAGGGATACCACCGTGCCCAAGTCTCACACGTGAACCCTTACACAGCCATATATTTGCACAGACCCAGACCTCACACACATCCTCCGGCTGATGTGCACACAGCTCTGACCTGCCATACGTGTGCACACACAGTAACGCACATTCACACCTGCACTCCCATGCAAACCGGCCAATGGGACCCCGTGGGCCCCTTGCACGCATCCACGCTTGCAGGCCTTTCACATGAGGCACACACCAGCACCTCCTCCCGGTGCACACATGTGAACACTTGCATACTCTCTCAGAGCACACAAGCGTACCCCGGAGTCAGTCCTTACACAGCACCCGTCAAAATGCACCTTTGGATGTGTACATCCGGACCTCGCACTGGCACGTACCTGCTGCCAGGGCCCTTCCCCTCTGCACTCCTGCTGCCCTAGCAAATGGCCACCCTGGGCAGGCGAGCCGCTTTGCCCAAGGGGCGAACTCTGTCTCCAAACTGTACCCCTCCCCTGAGCCCTCCCCGGAGCTTCCCCAGACCTAGCTGGGGGCGCCCAGTGCGCTTCCTGACACTCCACGACGCTAAGGGGCTATCTTCTCCCCCGTCCTCCCACCCTTCTCCCCACACCAGTCATCAGGGGCATAAAATGAGCTCTGGGGCCAGACAACTTTGCCCAGGGACCAGAGCCGGTATGGCACTAGCCCCTGAAATGGTAGTGTTCCCCCCAACTTGCCTGAGCGCCCCTCCCTGTCTCTCCACACCCAGGGAGCCCCACCAGTCCCTCAGTTATTCAGCCCTGCTGTACTGACGCCCTCCCTCCAAGAGGAGCTGGGAGGAGGGAGGGGAGGAGGGAGGGGATGTGCTTTCACGGAGAAGTTGGCCACTCTGCACAGTCGCCGGTGGTGCCTCAAGTCAGGAGGGACTACCTGGGAGATGGTGAACTCTCTCCCATCAGAGGTGTCCAAGTTGAGGCCAGATGAACACCTCAAGAGAAAGTCGGCAGGGGGTTCTGGCTTTGGACTCGGCTGCCTGGGAAGATCCCTTTTTAACCCTGAGTTTCTAAAAATCTGTGTGTGCCCAGTCATGTGCAATCGGGCGTGTGTGTGTGTGTGTGTGTGTGTGTGCGTGCGTGCACACTGGCATGCACCACCAACCCTTCACCCCTACACACACTCAGCCGGCTGGCTGTGGCACATCTGGGCACACATAAACATGCCTACACCCAGCTCTGGGCACTCGGCACAGGCAAGTATCCCCCCAAACATGCAGACTTCCTCCCCGTGTGTGTGCACAGGAAGCAAGCAGGTGCACATCCCCTGCCCGTGACGCTGACCCCCTGCACCCTCCAGAACTCTCTGAGGTACAACTCACTTTCCCAGTTCCTCGAAGAGCTGGTACTCTTCCGTGAAGCGGGTGCAGGTGATGGTGGCCATCCTGGCTCTGGGCGGGCAGGCGAGGCGTGGGGCTGGAGGACCAGACCTGGGGCTCTGCTACTCTGCTCCCGGAACTAGGGGCCACTCGCGGCCCTGTGCTGCCGAGTGCGAACCGAGAACCAGCTTGACTGACGAGCCCGGGGCTTCTGAGCAGGGCACTGTGGCTGCTCACAGCCTCGCGAGCCTTCGTCAGCATCCAGGTCCCCATGGCAACCACCTCCGAAACGCCCTGTTCCCGTTGCCCGGGTAACTGCCCCCCCAACACCTGCCTGCCTTCCACTGCGAAACCTGCTCCGGGACGCCCTGGACCTAACCACACACAATACTGCAGGCCTGTGTGGGCCCAGGGGCAGGTGGACACGGCACCCCCGAGGTGATGGACCGACAGAGGGGTCTGGGGAGGGGGAGAAGAACAAACTTAGTCCACAAGTGATCTTCTCTCTTCCCACCTCCCCCACCTCCAACTGTGGGTCCCTTGTAGCAGACAGGATGGGATTAAGTGGGGCAAAAAGGCAGTTGCCATGGTAACGGCCAGTGGGTGCCACATTCTGGGATGGTCCCCAGGAAAGACAGGATGCAGTTACCCTGGCAACTTCATCTCCTCTGGAGAGACAGGTATTGCCCCGTTGCCCTGGCAACAGCAGGGTTCTAAGGTTTACAGGAAGCGATGGCTAATTCATTGGGATCTCTCTCCCAGTGGATCACTGTAGTCTGTAACTGTCTCTCTGCTCCCCTCTGTATTTCGTTTCTGCCTCTGCCTCTGTCTTCCTCATTCTCTGCCACCTTGTCCGTCTCACTGGCGCTCTAGCTTGAGGGACAAGTGCATTGGAGACATCGGGATTCTGGAGAGAATGGCCCTGCCCGCCTGTTCACCCCCACCCCTCTCCTCCATCCCGTGCCCCCAGAGGGACCATGGAGATCTGGTCTCCTGGGGCTCACGTCCCAGTTTCGGCTTGTGCTTCAAGTCAAGGTGAAAGAGGCGGAGGCGGCAGTGGGGAGGGAAGCATGGCCTGGCATGGAGGGGAGTGGCCATGGGCCTGCCCTGAAATCCTCATTCCCTCTTCCTCATTCCCGTTTTCCCTGCCAAGTTCAACTCTTCAGGGCAGCAGCCAGATCCAGGGCCCCAAGATCTCACCCAAGCCCTGGGCGGGGCGGGGGGGGGGGGGTTCGGAAGGAAAAGGGCTGGAGTTTAAGGATCTGAGTTCAACTCCAGCTCTGATGTTCATGAGCTGTGTGACTCTGGAAAAGTCACTGCCCCTCTCTGAGCCTCCAGCGCCCTTTCTGCAAAACAGAACAAAGCTGCCACTGCAGAGGAAGGCTGTGAAGAAGGAGTGGGCTAAGGGCTGTGGAAGCCTTTGGGAAGTATGTAAACATGAGGTCTCTTTTTAGTTTCTGGAAGAGGAAAAGGAAGGTCTAAAGCGGGACCATGGCCACCCCCATCACTCTAGCTTGGACTCAGAATTTCACACCCACCTCCTCCACTCAAGCTCATTTCACAGTCCACCAGGCTGAGGTCTCATGCCAGTATTTGCCCACGAGGAGCCCAGGTGGGATAAAAGGATCCAGGATCCCAACCCTCTGAGTTGCTAACCCACCCCTCTGAACCTTTCAATTGCCTTACTGGTCACCTCACTTGCTGGACACGTTGTCTGCTTGTTGGTAATCCCCAACCCTAGCAGGTCCCTGACTCACTACCTTAGGTCCAGGGGCCCCTGGAGACATCTGGGTACCCTCTCCCACAATTCTGCCCCTCTTCCTGGGCATCAGGGGTGCGACAGAATGATGGGGTTGGCTCTCCAACGCGGGATGCAGCCACTTCTTCCCAGGAGAGAAACGGGAGGGAGGCCAAGGGGAAGGAGGGGAGGCGAGCTAGGGAGGAGGGGTAATGGCTTGGCCACTAATTGCACCATTACCACCTTCAGAAAAAGGAAAAACCACTCAGTTTTGTTTCTGCGCACAATATGCTTCCCGCTCCTGCCGCCAACGTTGCAATTCAGAGGCAGAGAGGCCTTTGCTTGGGGGCTGCACAGCCGGTGGGAGCGGGCTGGGCACGGAAAGCGGAAAACCGCCAGAGGCGAGAGGCAGATGCGGGGAAAGTGGGGGAAGGACTGCACGGCCACCTCCCCGCCCAGACCCTCTAGCCCTTCCCAGGAGATGGCGCCCACTCGTGAAGGCACTGCAACAGCCCTTAGTGACTGCTGAGGCCACCTCAGTCACTGTCCAGGGGAGAGGAGAAGGACTTCACCATCTATGGGCTGTGTGATTTTGGATGGGGAGCCTAACTTCTCTGTGCCTCGGTTTCTTCATCTGCAAAATAGAGTTACTAATATTCCCTACCTCCAGGGCTGTTTAAGGATGAAATGAGATGAGCAGGTGAGCACAGCAGCTGACACACTGCGAATGCTCAGAGATGGGAAATTATTACTAGTAAGAGACTCAGAAGCCTTCCCTCCTCACACTGCTCTGTCTGAATCCTGGAAGCACGCACCACCATCCTTGTTCCTAGCACTTTGGTGCCAGTGCTGTTCTCTGAGTCCCCACTGGAGTTGAGTTCCTGGTTTGAGCATCACCTGGCCCCAGCCTGGGTGACAGCAATGCCTGTAGAACAAAGGACTGGGGGGGGTGGCGCCTGGGTGGCTCAGGTCATGATCCCAGGGTCCTGGGATCGAGCCCCGCATCGGGCTCCCTGCTCCCTGGGAAGCCTGCTTCTCCCTCTCCCACTCC